AATCAGTTTGAAACGAGCAACGAGATATTCTACAGTAAAGAATTAGAGGGAAAATCCGCAGAAACCTACATCATTCTACTGAAACACATTACTCCAAGAAAACATACATTACTCTGATGAAACATACGTTACTTTGCTGAAACACATGTTAATCTTCCAGCTCCGAGATTACTACTAATTTCTACGCACGTGATGGGAAAATGTTTCCATCTCCGAATATCATCTCTGGATATTCGCATTGTTCGGAAACTCCAGTATTTATCTTTAATCAGTTGTCCAGAAGTTTCGAATTCCATTAGTCTCTGATCTATCCGGCAGCTGAAATTGACATAGATCGCGCTCTCACTTCTCCCGAATTCCAGTTTCGTTCCAGAAACGCCTTTCATTTACCTTAACATCAGTTTTCGTGAAACCCATTTATCCGAACTCCGGTATTCCTCCGATGTTCTTGCGAACGCCGATTAGATGTTTTCAACAAAGATGGATGCTGAAAAATAGCGAGTATATTTTTAGTAGGGTTAAGAGTGCCATCAAACTTTGATTTGCCTGTAATTTTGTAAGTTGGCCGATCAGATAAAGTATGATTGATAACAAGTATGATAATTAAATGATACAAAACTTCATTTGTTACGCGATGGTTGTCGTACAAACAAACTTTTAGTTATAGTAGTATTTGTTGTTGTCTTTATAGATGAAAACAACCCGTATTTCCACGCACTTTGAAGTGAATAAAATTCTTACGGAACACTGTATCCTTTATGTCTTTGAATACACTTTATCCGTGCACTTAAAAGTTCAAATTCCTGTGCGACCGGTAAGGGTTTATTAATAACAGGAACTTGAGTAATTTCCGCGTGTAACACACGTGCTCTTTGTACCGTGTTTGCGATAAAACCGCAATAACTACTTGAAATTAACAAAGAGTTTCAGTCCATTCTTCCCCATACTTATGTTTGAAATATACGGATACACATAAATACTGAATAGTAAGTTCCGTAATCTCTATTATACAAGTCTTACACATTAGTGATGCAAGCATGACAAAGTCACAGGGGCTTGAAATGTTCATTATTATCATTGTTCGTTTTTTCTTCTTTTTATTTCACTCTGCTTTTTATTTAGTTTATAATTCCTGTTTTTGAAACAGTTATTAAGTTATAGTTTAAACAAGAAATATAAACGCAAAGTTGACTTCTGCAATGACCCATAGGCAAAAACAATGAGTAAAGTTTGAGAGTACGACTCCCAAGTTCAACGTGTGGCGTCGTACATGAGTCAATCCCCCCCCCCCTCCACACTTCACCGCTCTATCTCCCCCCACAGCCCACTACACAGACAGATAGGCCTCTTACAGAACTCCGCTTGGTAAGAGCTTATTATGTAAATAAGCTTGATATGACGTATAAGTTTCGGCAATATGCGTTGGTTTTCGGTAACACTTGAAAAATAATCTCTCTGTCGCACGTGCCCCGTTGCCACCCTCTGTAACATTCCAGACGACATATAAAATTATCATCAGTTTCGGGTTAAAGGGCATGGCATGTGGTACTCATCAACTCCGCCCCCCCCCCCCCCCCCCCCCCCCCCCCCCCTCCCAAAGTCTTCTTATTAACCAAAGGGACCTCCAATCTATTCACAGCCACCGTGAATTACATGTATACATTGGTATATACGTACATGCACGTACATAGGCTCGCTCCATGATACAAAATGCATGTTCGACATTCAGCTGGGATGGATTTTTTTATTAAAATAAAAAGAAGTGTGCTTAATGTTTGATAATTTTGATACATTGTTTGGTGATATAAACAATATTTTATTAAAAATAATAGAAAAATATTAAAAAAAAAACAAAAAAAAACACCAACAACTTTTTTCTGTTCCTGCTGAGCGTCGAGCCTCTTTTTGACATTGGACAAATAACCAAATTAATCTACACATTTTTCTTGTCTTTTCTTGTTCATATCAAATTTAATCTGTGTGTCATTTTAATGTGTTTCATTGTCGGTATGCATACGTGTAGGTTAATACTTGTTGGTTGGGGTTGATACTATACTCAATCCTTCATTGTGAGATAACATCTGTCCCATTTAATTTAGACTACTCATAACCGTGAACTGTTCTGGGCAATTCCTGCTTTTTCATACAATATTTTCTGTAACTAGAAATTTAGTCCTTTTTTTTAAACATTAAAACATTAAACATTGAAATAAATCTGTGGAACTGCATACTTTTTGCTTGCCTTTCTCTTCTCATTTTGAAGTTTTATCGATTTTAAAAAGAAAAAGAGTTCACGAATCTGAAAACAAACTAATTAATCAGAACAAAAGTTCTATAAATCGTGCAGGGTTAAACAATGGTGTCCTTCTGTCACAAGGGTTGTCTCCCTTCTCTCGGTGACAACAATATCGTCTCTGTGCTCGGCAACACCTTTTTTGCGTAGTTTATATTATAATGATGTATAGTACTACATGAATGTAACATGCAGCTCCTATCTATATGTAAGAAGACTGCAAACCATGAGCAATTATTAAAGCAACAACAAAACACTCATAATGATGAACTTCTACGGTATCTTTCTGAAGACGTAAATATGCAAATTAAAAAATATGTATAAAGGTAATTGGTAATTGGGTGCAACATGCAGTCTTCTATCCAGATTTCTAAAGTAAGACACAAGGTGTTCCCAGGTACCATATTTAAGTTGATTACTCTATATAGGAAACATCGGGTCACCATGAAATCCATCTGAAGATTCGATATGAGGCTGAATCAGATTTGGATTAACTATGTAAAGAAGATATCTTCAGAATCTCCAATTAACATAACCAGGAATGCGATCTTTAGATATTAACTACAAATGACGTCACAAACTCCGAGAAATTCCCTCAACAGAGGAACTCCCGTTGTGACTCCCCCCTTGCGGCGCACGTGACACAGTAGGGGGCGGGGCTCACGTGGATTTAGCCCCGCCCTCAAAGATTTACAGTTACGGGAATAATTACCGAGAGGTCACAAGGGGCTGGGAATGACCACTCCAATGTCAACACCAACAAAACCCAGATGGTCGTAATCTGGACAGCATGTCAAAATCTCAGCTAGATGTGTAAACATACCAGTGAAACTCATATTGTCCCGGTCTGATTACCAATTAGCAAGGAAAATGAAAAGCAGACTTACTGTCCCTCTAATCAGAGACGTATATACGTATATGGCTTTATATGTCTCTGCTTGAATAAAGTTGTCATATTCAGGGATATCAAAACAAATTCGAGTGTTTTAAGACACTTTGTATTTCATATTGTAAATAAAAAACCGGTGTATTCCGGCAACATGTGAGAAATGATGACCTTTCTAAAAGGAAAATTTATGAATGCTTAAGGAGCAACAGCGCCAGACATATGACGAAAAAATAAAACTGAATCTAAAAGAAATACGACGAAAATTAAGAAATATATAACAAAATAAACTGTGTAAGTAGCTATGAATGTGTGTATGTAACTTTGTATATGTATGTTCTAATGTACGTGCATGAATGATTTATGAAATGAAATATTTCTAAACCTATAGAAATGTATATTCATAGTCTAGTAGGAAACCTGATTGTTTTGTTAATTTATGCAAGTTAAGAAAAGTCCATTCTCTTATAAAGTAAACCAAAGCATTTATTACGAATTGACACCATGATCATAGAGGTATACACAGGCGCGTTCAAGAAGCTGTGAGTACATGGGATGGGTTCAATTGCAAGAAAGGATGCTGGGAGACCGTTCTTGTGGTTCGTCTTTTTCCCAAACTTCGGAATATACCTTTGTTCTACGGTGAGAGAGATTTCTCGTGGTCGATCCTCTTCATATCAGTCGTGCTAGTCATAAAACTCACATAGTTATCACAAGTATGTATAATCTGTTTAGATTACAGTAACCTCGCACTAAGTAGAAATGGGTGTAAAGCCCTTCAGCACATGGTAGCTGTTACAAGTCACTACCTTTTTTTCTTTGAAAAAGGAAAGAAAGAGAAATTTTCGAAAGAAAAAATACAGCCGGTGTGGTGTGTTCGGAGTCTTGTTTACAACCTTTCGATAATTCCATATTTTTTTAAGTAATCAATTCAAACTCCAAATTTATCAAGATTTCAACACATTTACTGAGATACAAGACCCCCCCCCCCCTTTTTCTGCTGAGTCAGCATATTCAAGAGTTCGTTATGTAAGCTCGTGATATCCAATTTTGAAAATTTATCATTTTATTAATCTGATGCATGTTATTTAAAAGTATAAATTATTTTAAAAGAATAATTGAATTGCTTACTGTGTTAATATAAGTAAAGGCTATATATACGGTACGTTACGAGTATAAAACCGACAGATGAGAAAATGCTGGTCCTGTCATCAACAAAAGTATAAACAGCACCGTTATGTTGTTTGACAAATGACAATAACACAGCATCTGTCAGCATAACTTGACGTTATCTGATGACGACTACCCTCATATTGATATACTAAACAATACCGCTAAATTATTAATGTACTTGATTAATCGGCCTCTTTATATTCATAACTGTACTTGATATGTGACATGAAACAATGTAATACAATGTTCATATAACTGGTCAAAAATGTATTTCAGTGGTCAATTTCAAATAAGTTCAACTTGCTACAAATGTATTTCAATGTTCAATTTGAAGTGTGAACATAACTATTCAAAAATGTATTTCAATGTTCAATTAAAAAAAATCGTATCAATATTCAAATTAGTAATAAGTATAATATTTTAATGATCGAGGAGAGAAATAGACAGCAAATAATTCGTTTGATAGTAACTTTCAAACTGTGAAAATATGTGACTCATGTGTGAACGCGTCTGCGCTTCGTTACGTAAGAAACCTGTTATTTACATACAAGTATTAACAACACCATAAAATGCATCATACATAATTTAACAAATAGTATATGAATGTAACATAATCAGTTATATAATGTGTGTTTTGTATCTTTTCAGACGATCGGAAACTAATCACGGGGACTAGAGAGCGAGTCACTTAAAAATCAAAGTTTCATAAAAACAAAGAAACAATAAACAAATATAAACAAGGAATTTGATATTTCTCTCTTTGGACACTCCCTGTGGGAAATCGCTACTTGTATCAGAAAGGGCTAAGGCCTGCCCTCCTCATAGGTGAATCACTTGTACTCACTCAAGCGTGAGATCCCATTTTTGTCAACGGCGGTATATATAAACCAACCATGGATGAAAGCGAGGCACAGTTTTATGACGAGGACGAGGAAGAGGAGATGCCGGCAACAGAGAGAGATTTAGCGGACGACGCTCAATGGAAGCTTATCCAGAAAAACACCTTCTCCAGGTGGGCTAATGAACACCTGAAAACGGTAAATAAGGTTTTAAACGACCTAGAAGCCGATCTTAGCGATGGATTACGTTTAATATCGCTAATTGAAGTGCTTTCCGGCAAGCAATTTAAAAAAATCAACAAGAGGCCCAACTTCAGAACACAGAAACTTGAAAATGTTACCATGGTTTTGGAGTTCCTGGAGAAGGATGAGGGGATCAGGATCGTCAACATCGGTAAGTGTCTTAATTTTATTTTATATTATTTATGACAGATACAATCAGTTGTATTCACATGCACACACGTCGGAATTCGGGCGTGACCGACTGAAGAGGTCACGATGGTTGAGTGAAATACCTTAGCATATTTTACCTGCTTCAGGTGAGAACGCCTATTCCGGTCCAGCAGAGATCTCCTGTCATAAGTTCGATTTAATTTCTCTAGAAAAACCCCGTTTTTAATGTGTGTCTATTCATAGTGACAGTAATGGAACCGTTCATAGTTTACCTGTTGCAGTACACACGTGTGGCGAAATATATAAACAAACATGGCTTCCGTCGATTGTGTATTGTAACAGTGTAAAATCATCGATCGCCTCCCAATTTGCACATTATTGACATTCTAAACTCCAATTGTTTTTTCTTGCTGAAATGAAAAACATTAAAATAATTTCGGATAAGATTCGGTCCGAGATTTCTGCAACCCACATTACTGACCCGTTTTAGCCACTGGCCATCAGACTACTAGTAGGGTAATACCTGAATACACATGTGTATTGGACCCATCATATGGAAGCAGTTATCACATTAGCAGAAATTGTGGGAGAGGGACAGTTCTTCTAATGATGAACAGTAAATTAATTTAGCAATTTGTTTCTGGTACAAGGCCTTGTTCCTCTGCACCAGACTAATGTCAGTTAGATCCCGCTCAAACTATCTTCAACTTCCAAAAGGTGTCTAAATTAAAATTGTCATTTAAAGAGTCATTTTTTGCCCCATCATTGTGTAGTTGTTTTTTAAGCAGTTTATATAAGTTGCATTAATAATAGCTTTTGTTAATTTTGATGAATTCATTACAATATATACAAAGATTTTTTGTTAAATTAATGAAAACTCTTCAACAAAACAATCCTAATTATATTTTTTTGTTAATGTCTTTTTTTCCCTACAACCTTGCAAGAAACCTTATCACTGCGAATGATATTGAGGTCAGATTTGAAATGGGTGTGTCCCCCAAATTGCAGGGTTAAATTTTATCTCAAAGTTGGTGAAGTGAGGGGGTGGGTCGTGAATATACTGACATTACTATCCACACAAAATTGTTTAAACCAATTGAAAGTTGCATAAAGTTGCTAGGTTATAACAGAATTTGTATTTAAGTCTGTCAACCCTGATTTGTGATAAATTGGTAACATGTTTGTTAAGTACTACAATACTTTAGTCGACACAAGAAATTTTTATAAAACACAAATGTGTTATGTACCAGCAAGTTATGTATTGTTCGAGTTTGTCGTTTAATTTTTGGCAGAGTTTCAAGTCTGGCTATAAACAAAACTCTAGTTTTTATTTGTATATTTATATATATGTAAAAACCCCTTATGCTCATGTATATTTCATTTTGCACAAATGAAATGTCAAAGTTGAAAATGAAACAACAAATTGCTGAATCTGTGACCTTTAGGGAGATAAAATTTGTATGACTGTGGTGTACACATTGACATCAATGACTATGTCTGGGGGAATAGAAATGTGTATAATGCACCTTTCAACTGATGCATGTTTTCATGAGATTTTCAAAAGTTTTACCATGATTCTTGTAAGGCTACCTTACCTACATGTATAACAGTTCACTTACCGAAAGAACATTGTTAGAATTCAGCGATATTAATCTTCAGTAATGTTAAGATAACGAAGCAAAATTCCCATATTTTCCTAATAAAATTGGATAATGTATGATCGGTTATCTTTTACACTGCAATCAAGTTTATGTACCCTGTACTTATCCAGAAATAAGCCCATGCCTGGTAATAAGCCCGCTATTGTCTATTGCAGTTCATAGACAATGCTTACAAATTGTAATGTAGTGTTTTATTGAGAATTGTGTGGGAGGGGGTGGGCAAAATAGTTGTTCAATTCTATATAGGCAGAATGTCAAAATTTATAGGGGATGTACATGTTCAAAATCTCTCCCCGCCTCTTTGAGTCGGAGAATATGGGATGACCTACTTGGCTTATTTCATGCTTTGTTTATGCTTCAACTTAAGGGACAGTTAAACCAATATCGAAATTGTAATTAAATGTATAAGATGACACATCACAAGTGAAGAACTTGTAAAGGATGATTTGTTACCTGTATGAAAACTTAGACATATATCATGCTTGTCAACGTTCATACAGGTGATTAACGAGATTTACCGGAATGTCAGCAGTTATGTTTTTCATGACGTGCACATATGGGCCATATGTAAGTTTAAGTAGTTTTGCTGTCATTCAAAACACAGACATTTCTTTAGAAACTCAAATGATTACATTTGTTCATAAAAGTGAATTAATTGGTTATGGGTTTGTGTTGATATTTAAACAACTGAGTTTGCTGTGCTGTTTTCTTTCTTAATCTGAAAGATCAGTGTTTTCTTACATCGAAGTCTCAAATTCACATTTGATCATAACAGTGGACACTTCTGTCTAATTAAAGCGTTAATTTCTACCTGTATTTTTTTATCTGAATATTTATGTCCCCTAATATGAATGAACTTTTGTAATCTAAGACAGGTAACGTCTTTCTCAGCTACCTATAACAATTTCATACCTGTACTTTAAATTCAATAAAATAGTGGTTATCTTTCAGTAAATACCCTGTGAGAATTTACTGCGGATATTAACAGAGAAGTCGGAAGATCTATCTATAGAGTGCCGCCTCAGAACGGGTGGCACTAGTGTAGAAAATGACCAATTTGTGTATTGTTGTGTTTACCTTTGTCCACTCGACAATGACCTTTTAATATGACACTGTCCAGTTTGATGTGGACAGACCGGTACATGTGTATGTAAGTGACCCCAGGTGTATACCTGTTTTACCTGTGTTTTGTATATCAGTATCACACTGAGGTGGGGGAATACAGTAGCTTTACCGTAATTCACCTACATACATACATGAGCAAAATCCTGTTCATATATTGTGAACATGGTTTCCTAATAAAACACCTGTTTCTTACGCATGCATATATACCATAGTATAGTGGTATTTTGAACCACCATATTAGGTTACACCCGGTACATATGTATATCAGATCAATTAAAGATATTGGGGCTCAGTATCAGAAACTTTACTCAAATTAAGGAAATTCCTTGAAGTATTTTGATGATGGCTGAAAGTAATTATATTTTCATAATTTCTTAAACCTGTAAGTCAGGATTTAGGTTTTCAAATTGACATCACAGTTGTTTGAAATGTAAATAGACAGTACGTCTTTGTTAACTGTTTTTGGTAGTTTTTACTTGCATACCCCCGTCCCCCATACTTATACAGACAATGTATTGTTATTGTGATGGTGTTTCCAATAGATTTACTGCTACATTCACTTCATTTGATTTAAAAAAAAACAATAAGAGAAAAAAGAACAATAATGCCTCTGATTGAGGAGTTAAAAAACTAATATTTCTACGTAAGGAACGATTATACGTCCCTGTTTTATTCAAACAAGTTCCAACCAATTTCATCGATTTTAAAGGTGGCTCTCATTTTTTTTTGGCTCTTTGTTTAAAAATGACTGCATTTGTTGTTTTAAAACTCCAATGAGTTTTACCAAACCCCTAATCCTTATTTCAGATCTAGCATTATTTACGTAAACACTCGGGCCATTGTTTGAAGTCTGAAATGTGAACTATGTAAGCTACTTGAGGTAGATCTGTCATTTCCTGACCGTTAGCTGTGTTTGTCGGTACTTGAGTCATGCAACTTGAAACTCTGGGCATTTCACACATATTTAAGGTCTGAAGTAGGTGATAGTTATTATATACATGTATATTCAATATTACAATAGGCGGTGCAATACAAGGAAAACTTTTAACTGTAACTGGGTGTGATATGGAAAATGCGTGTTTTATTCTGTTTATTACATACTTACTAATAAAGACTAATAAAGGCTACTATCTTATGATCTATTTTTCTTTTGAAATATTGAAGAACGAAAATTTCCAAAAGGGGTGTGTTACAGACTTTGCGGGTTGATAAGGGTATTGGGGTGTGATACGGCAGGGGCTGATACGGGTTTTGGGGTGTGATACGGCGAGGGCTGATATGGGTTAGAGCAATTGTGTCGTATCGCATATACAAAAACCCCATATTTATTAGTAAGTATGTAATAAATATGTGTATGCATTTCTATATTTTTCTCTGAGAAATTATTTCATTTAAAGATTCTCAAGAAGCTGAAAAGATCTATCCATACTGTGTATTGTTAATAATTGTCTATACTGAACCCTGTATAATCTGGACATGGGTATAAACTGACCTTCAACTAGGTCCCACTGTGCATTTCTATGTAACCCTGTATAAACCAGACATTTAGGTAGATCCCACTGTACATTTCTGTATAGCCAAATGCAATCTGGACACCTGTAAAAACCAGGTCCTTATAGAGGTCTGTTCCACAGCATTCATCTGAAAACCTGTTTGATCTGAACTAATAAATGGTCCATTCGTATTTGATTGGACATTCAAAATTCAAAGTATTTGTATACCTCCTTTAAAGCAAAAAAAACCACCCAACATAATTATTCTATTGTGCACTATATACAAACATCAATTTGCTTTGAAACCTTGTAATAAAACATGATCATATGCACAAGGGCTAGCTAACATTCACTTCAATGAAGTATTGTAACAGGCTTGAAATATAATACCCTTTTTAGCATTGTTGTAACTTCATACATGGTATCGTATAAACGTGCCGTTTTGAGGGTCGTGTCGTGTCAAATTATTACGCTAAGCCTTGCTCACACATAACCATATCACTTTGAGTTCTACATGTACAGTGATGTATTAAAATCATTTTCGTCATGTAATTTTTGAGAGCAATAGTTACAAATTTACTTGGTAGACTTTCAAGTATTGTGTGATACATAAAAATCGCACAACATCGTTATTCATTGATGGAGTATGTGTAATTTATTCAAACCGGTGAATTTTTAAAGTCATAATGAATGAAATGACACACCTGAAAAGTTTACACCTA